GTTCGGCTTAAAGACACGCCCCAGGGGCGTTTCTAGTCCCAAAAGGCTTTTCTGGTCCCCATCTGTCATTTTGCTCCTCAGCATGGCTTCCTAAAAACGCTGCAGGATTTTTCAAACATGCATGAATGAGTCAAAGCAAGGCTTTGGRCGTGTTTTTTATGAGTGTGTAACATTATAACATGATATAAAACTCAAAAAAGTTGATTTTACATGATAGTGCCCCTTTAAGCGTACCATGTTGCAACACAAACACAAGTTTTTGTATCTATCAACAAACTTGACATAGTTTTTGCTGCAGAACTGATCATATTTATTAGCAGAATTGGTAGAAATTCTTTTTTTAATGGCACAAACAAGGCTTTAAAGCACAGACAACAATGTTTCAGTTGTGGTTTAATGTCASCCTCATTGCTTTATCTATTCAGAATCCAGTTCTAATGTGGGTTTTGGACCACTGAAGTGAACTTGAAGGATTCTGAGGTAGATCTTCTTCATTCTTCCATACCTTTGAGTAATGTACCAGTACCACAGCATGACGCCACCACCGCCATGCCTGACAGCTGGTTCTTTGTTCTAAAGTTCCAAAGTCTCACATCAGCCACAACACTTCTCAGTATTGTAGCCAAATAGTTTGGTCTTTGTCACTTCACGCTATAAAAGAAAGGATTTGGTTTTTTAAAGTGGGCAGCTGCGGATTCCAGTTGAGCTTGGATTCTTTTCCTTTTTTCTCTCGGTCAAAGCTGATGTAAAAATCACCTTACTGCAGTAATACTGATGTTTCAGCAGTTTCCCATTTCATGACGGGGCCTTGGTGGTTCTTCTACATACTAACTAATTTTCTTTGACCTGAGGATGACAGACACATATCGATCAGTCCAATAACTGTTGCTTGCTTGAGAAAAAAACTGCCAGCTGCAGTCAATCATGATCACTAACAAGAAAACCATAGATCTCGTCAAGCTAAAAGACACAATTTACAATCTGAAGCAGTACTTATTTAAAGAAATGGTGAAAGTTTGTGTATTTGCTCCTGTATGTGTAATTTGGACCCTGTTTTGCTTAGAAAAAACCCACAATAAATATTTAAACTTGTGCACTTGTTTTTAAAACTTGTTGATGTTGTGCATTCATTCCATCTTAGAAAAAGAACCGCTCAAATGAATAATTTAAAGCCCAAATTAACTTATTATGACTGTAATGCATACGTTCAGTCTAAAATACTCTCTGGCTTGACTGAGTCATAATAATGTTGATTAGCTGCAACGGCCATCTTGAATCCATGTGAATTCAAAGGTTAATTGTTTATATTTTTCTAACAGATAGACAGACTAACAAAAACACACAGACAGAGCAATGATGATTGCTCACATTTGAAGGTGAGGGACATTAAGTTTAGGTTTATGTAAAATTATGGATTTTGTTTCCAACATCAACTCTTCTCATCATGTTTCTTAAGAACAGGAGAAATATTTCTTTCTGTTGAAGAAGATCATGTTAGGTTCATTAAAACAAGGCTTCCACGATGCATGTTTGTCTTTAAACACAGCAAACACTCCCACATCGCTGCTCATTAGCAGTCTGGAAACACTATGTATCAAATCTGTTTGGATACCAAAATGAAAAAAAAAAGTGTGGAAAAAATACTATTAAAAAATGACCCAGATAGTGAGTTGTGAATCCAGAACTGATGCAGAAACAAACAAACAAACCCACCCACTCATCTCCCGCTGTAAATGAAGCTGCAGAGGCCAGAGAAGAGCAGACAAATCACCAAACACACACACACACACACACACACACACACACACACACACACACACATACACACTTCATTGCCACTCACAGCAGGAGCTGGGTGTCACTTTCAAACACATGCTGAGCTAATTAAGATTCATAAACACACAAGCATCCCAACAGGAACAGAGCTGGGAGGAAGGAGAAAGAATAATTTCTGATTGTGTTCGTCTTCCACTTCCTCTCATTTATTTGTGCGAGAAAAAAAAAAAGACATAAGCTGCAAATGGAGAAAAAAAAGTAAAAACCATTGTGATGTAAGCAGTGGTGTGCTGTTGCTTCAGGCAGGATACAGTGAGCCTGTATCCTGATGTGTGACCCCTTATATTGGTGCCTGCTTTGAGGAAATGTTTGCTGGTCTCCTGGTGTTCAATAATTCACCAGTTTCAGTCACAAATCATTTTTATGTCTCTTTTGGGATACAGACAGGGAGGGAAATGTGCTTACGCAGCCAGATGTGTATGCACACGTGCCCAGAAGAACATAGGATCATAAAGTGAGCCTCATCCTGCGGTGTTCAAACAGATCTTTGTGTCTCGCTCATAAATCAGGGTTTATTCTGAGTGGAAGCATCTTCTGAGCATGCTGAGTGACTGTGAGTCTGTGGAGGATGCAGCTACTGAGGGACCAGTAGCGAAGCCTGCCTGTGTGTGTGTGTGTGTGTGTGTGTGTGTGTGTGTGTGTGTGTGTGTGTG